CTGTTGTAAAAGTCAATTAGCCAAATCAAACACGATAATGAAATTTATTTTTCATTAACCTTTATATATGTTTGGATTAGTGATTGTTATCAAGATAGTTTTCTTTTACTCTTATATGCTTTGAAATTGTTTAAAATTTATTGTTCAACCTTTTTTTATGAAGAAATGTTCAAAATTACATGTACGATATTTAAAAATTAATTTTTTTTTGTTTGTAGTTTTTGTTTGTTTTTTATATTTTTTGGTAAAAGTTTTCTGTGATGTGTATTTTTCCAATAATATTAGGATGTACTTTAAAAAAAAATCTGTTTTGAAATTAAAATAAGTAAACAAAAATTTTATTTATGAAATTATCTAATAGGAATGTGTTTATAAGTGGCTAGAGACATAACATTTGATTGTAAGTTTGGCCATAACATATATGAATGTATTTTTCTTAATGGAATTATTGTGGTTTCTTGGGTGATTTGAATTATATGCGAATACGATGTTAGAATGTATTCTTTACCATTTGCAAAAACAAACTATAATATGCATGATATATCAAAGATCCTTAACATATGATTTTAATTATATATATACATATATATATTGATGTTTAATTTTAAATTTTACATATTTGTAAAAATATAATTAATAATTTGTTTTCAAAATTTGATAAACTTATTTTTATTACTTGCTTCAAGATTATTTTTTTGGTAGCAAAACAAATAGATTCAACTTGCTTCAAACTTGTTCACATATATATTGAACTATCAAAGTAATAAATGTGTGTGTTTATTTCCTCTTTATTTTGCCATTTTATAATCCTTAATGGTTTATTTTCATCTTACTTTTTTTTGCATATTGATATTAGATATCTATTTTTTATTCATTTTATTTATTAAGTTATTACTATTTCATAATTCTACTTACTAAATTTCAGAATATTTTATATTTTATTTAATTGCATCATCAAAGATTAATATAATTCCTCATACTGCTTTATCACTAATTTGTTGCTTTAATTTATCTACATAACTATATTATATTTAATAGGCTAGAAATGTGTAAATTTAGAGTTAGAAATGAGTTTGAAACAATGACATTATTTCTTTACCATCTCTGTTCATAAAGATTAAATCAATTTTTATTTCAAAATAAGTGTGGCTCTATATTTCAAATATAAATATTCTTATTTAATCACTCTCTTGCCATTTTACATAACCTATATATATTAGTTAAATTATTTTCATTTAATTAATTGTATAATAAATAAAAAATATTAATTAATATATTTTTTCATTTTCTCAATCTGCGTGAAAGATGTCCAAGTAACACTATTTATGAATTAATCACATGTCAAAATAGAAATACGAGATCGAAAATTTATAAAATAAGAATCTGAAACATGTAGGGAATAAAACATTTTGTGTAAGTATTAGAAAAGAGTATAATAAAGAAAAACACTCTCTTTTAATCATATTTCCATAACAATTTTACGAATATATAAAGAAGACAAAGAGATCAGCCATCTGTACTTATGCTAGAGAGCAGCCATCTGTACTTATGCTACAAAATTCGACCTTTGTCACCGTTCTCATCATGAATTTGATTATACACAATGAAACATAAGTTAAAATGGTGAACTAAAACCCTATTTACAACCATTCTCACCCTGAATTTCGTCATTAACCTCCAACGCTGACTTGTTAGATACCATCTTCCTTTAAACATCCATACTGAAAATCATAATATCTCAATAACTCGTACAAAAAAAAGTAACTCAAATAACAACCAATCATTAGAATCTGAAAGAAAAAAGAAAAAAAAAATTATAGTTTTGAGAATTTTGGAACTGGTGCAGCAAATTGAGAAATACATTTCTATCTTATCAATGTAATCTAATAGCAGTACATAAGGAATACTCCCTAGATTATAAAAATGTGTTATGTCAAATACTTCAAAATGCTGCTCTTGCCGTTCATTTCTTGAAGTGCTTTATACCCTTAACATCTTAATCCTTGTAAGCTTTTCTTATTTCTCTTCTTTTTCTACATATATATATATATATATATATATATATATATATATATATATATATTTATATCAATGTAGAAGGTGAAACTTATGAAACTAATCATTTTGCAGCATAGCCTGAGTAGTAACTAATGCATATATAATGGTAGCAACCGAAAATTCTCCCATAGCCGGTGTTCTTCAATGATTTTTCACCAGTTTATTAGACAGAGTTCAAGTCGCCATGTTGTTGGAATCTGTAGTATTTCCACATCCCACTGGAAATAATTATGTAAGACCACTGGAAAAAGGGAGTTAGGTACTTGAATGCATTCTGGTAAAAACAGTTAATACCAACGGTACTTTTTTTTGGCAATTAGTTGCAGGAAAAATAAATACGACAAAGTAACATATATATATACACCATTGAAAGCAGTAACAATCAAATTTCATAAATCATATATATATTTGAATTTGTTACATTTATCATTTTATTTGTATGTGAATTTTTTATATTAAATTATATTTAACTAATTTTAAAATTTGATTTTTAATATTTTTAAATTGAAGTAAGTATTTGAATATAATTCATTAGTGGTGATGTATAATTTAGTTATATAATTATCTTCAATATACCATAACATTTATACTAATGTCAAATATTTCTCTATTATATGTAACACAATTAATTAATAAAATATGAAAAAGCAAGTTCGAGAATTTAGAGTTATGTAAAAGAAATATAATTATGTATAAAACATAAATTATCTTAGTTTAAAAGATCGGAATATCATCTCGAATAAATTCACGAAAAGCAAAAGTACTCTAATAACCTATTTAAAATATAAAACCCCTTTTTATAAAAAAAATACTTAAGAATATTTTTACGTGTAATAGTTGAAAACTCAAAATTGAATATCGATATAGAATATTATTTAATATATCGAATGGTAAAATATTAATTGTCATAAAAAAATTTTGAATTTTGTAGTATTACATGAATTAGAAGTCTTTAAAATCTAAATTCTCTTTTATTAACATAATATATTTTTTATTCATTTACTATTTTGACGTTGTCAAATATTGCTTTAGTTTTATTTGTATATTAAATTGTTAATAAATTAGTTTCTTTTTGAGTAATTTTAAAATTATCAAGAATATAATATATTTAAACCTGTGCTTTTTAAATTTGTTAAGTAATTATTTTATTAGCATATAATTTTTTTTGCTTGAGGTTGTATTTATTTTGTCTAAATATTAATTTGTTGTGCTTTTATTAACTTTGAACTCATGTATTTCTCCAAAAAGCAATTATATAAATGTGGCATATTTCTTCTTAATTAATTAAAACAATGGCAATAGTTTTGTTGCGACTCATATAACCAAATAGCAAAAGTACACACATTATCCGTTTTATGAAAAAAATAAACTTTTGTTTTTTTTAATTTTTGGAAAAGAAAACATGCTTTCAGTTTATATTTTAACTAGGTGATTTTCCCGTGCTCATGCACGGGCATAAATATTTATAAAATAAATATATTATAATACTTGATTGATATTTACTTTAACTTTTATATTAATTTATAGTTTTTATGTATAATTATATTAATAATATTATATTATTTTAGTTATAGATATATTGTATTTAGTTAGTTTATCATTTGGATATATATATATATATATTGGATTCTATCTATTTCTCTGAATTCAACTATAATCTTTTTTTATTCTAAATATCTTAAATTTTTGATTAATTGTTTTATTTACATTTATGTTGGTTGTTATCTTAGAAATATAAGTATATCTTAGTAAGATTATGTATTTTAATATTTTTTGTGCTTAGAACGAAAAAAATAAAAACTAAAGTATCTGATTCTAAATTACATACATAAGTAATAATAAATTTTCAGAAGCTTATGAAAACATATCAATATTTACAATAATTAAGTAGTTTAGAAATTTTAAATAATTTATGCCTTAGATTGATTGGATGGTAAACTGAAATTTATTTTAAATAATTTTTAAAACAAAGAATTATGATTTTCTTAAGTATTTTCATTATGGTTATATTAAATTCCACTAACATAAAAACAGAAAATTAAACATCAAAAGAGTTATTAAGAAAACATATAATTTTAACTATTAAAATATAATATATCTACCTCGTTAAATTATATAGTGTTATGATATTTTAAAAGAATTGTAGTTATCTGATCAAAAGATGTTTACCATTAAATTTATTTTTAGTTTTGTTTTTAATATCTCTTAAAATATGTAGTAAAAATGTGATTGTTTTGAGAAATTATATTATAGAAGTAAAATATAATTTATATTTTTTGCTGTAACGGTAAGATATTATAATCAAATAAATATACTAATTATAATTTTTTTTGTCAATTAAACATATATCAGTTTATGTTACTTAATTATTTTATGTAATCATCTAATAAAATAGATAGATATTTACAAAAACTAATTACTTTGAAAATATATATTTTATTGTTTAAATTAATTTTTTAAAGAAAAAATATTTCTTTTTCTAATATCAAGATTATTTGTATGAAATTTTTTTATGAAAACACATTATATACAAATATTTTTTTCATCTAAGAAGATATAGATATAAAGTATAATTACTTAAAAAATATAATTTATGTTATTTAAAAATATATTTAAGTTAAATATTACTATTTTGTAAACTTTCTTTTTTTATGAAACCATATTATATATATATATATATATACTTATTTTTCGTTTTTAAATAGTTTTGTAAATTTTAGAAATATTTCCTTTTTGTTTTATATTGTTATTTGGAAGATTTTAAAAAGGAAATAATAATATTTAAATATATTTTTAATTCATTAGGGGTATCATAGTAATCAACCAGCGTGAGAGTTAACGTGAACGCGACACCTAAGAAAGTGACTTCTCAAATAATATTATAGAGATTAATAAGGTTCTAAGCAGTAACTCCAATGGGAACATTCTTGAGTCTTGAAGTTTCATATAGGGTTGAAACGGATAATCTCGTTCTTTGAACCATAAGCAACCTGAGTTCTGTCGTCGAGGTTGACGATGGTCTTGTTGAGAACAGAGGTGTATCCATCACTGCTGAACCCACCAGCATTCTCAATGAGCAGGCCAAGAGGAGCCACTTCAAACAACAGCCTTAACTTTGCCTTAGCCGTAGAGAAGACACATTCGTGAAGATTCCTTTCTCCTTAACTATAATCTGCATACCATAAAAATGAAGTGTTTAACTCAAGTTTTTCACTCCAAAGTAGGATATGAGATTTAAGAAACATAAACATTTTTAAATTGATTTTAATTATAAGAAATAGACAGTTTGGATATCTTGTATGGGCCAAACATATTTCATTCAGCTGTGCCTAGAACCGGCCATACATGTTCTTAAGAGCCAGAAACGAACAAACCTGGTTATCATCAAGAACCATTCCTCCTGTGTATCGCAGTGTGTACTTCTCTTTCATGTAGTAATCAATCAACTGATTTTCACAATAACATTAATGTAGAACAATAAGAAAACATTCAGAGAGTTGAACAGATTAATGATTAGATTAAAGCAGAACAAAAGCAAGAACCTTTCTGTATTCAGAGTTGTCAAACGTGGCTCTCAAGTTTCCTGGTGAGAACATTTTCCCTTCATTGATCTCTGTTGTCTCCTTAACATGCTGCCACTTCCATGATAAAACATTTTAACCTTAGTCTAACGCTACCAAAGAGTGAATCTTTTAAGACCCTAGATTAGACACAAAAGCAGAGGAGTACCTTCATCAAGAAGCAAGAACTCATGAGTTCCTGGAAACCCTTTAACAGCCAAAACATAAGTGGTTCTTCGACCATAGACCATGGCTGCAGCCACTTGATCTCCTCCCGTGAATCCGGTTAACTTACCACCAGGCCAAACTCCAAAGATCGTTCCCACGTTGAAGTTTGTATCCACAATGCTGGATCCATCCAATGGATCAAACGCCACACTAAACCCACCTTCCACTGGACCACCCATGTCTTGAAGCTCATGTACTTCTTCAGAGCAAGCATACTTACACACGTGCGAATATTGCAAAGCCTATAAAAACCAAACACAGAAAATTATCATGAACTTTGAGACACAAATTATTAAAAAACAAAACCTCAAAGAGAAGCTTCTCCCATACACATCAGCAAAGTTCTCAGGCTCGGCCCTTGTCTGGTGTTGCTTGTGTCAAAAACTATTCCTATACACACACATTCAATATTTAATAAACTTAATCTTTGCCAGTTGCCACAAGAACTAAAATAAAGATTTGAGTCTTTACCAAGCTTTGACCAATTTCACATTTGGTCAAAGATGAAGCACCATTGTTCTTAGCCTTTGTGGCTTTGAACTGTGATGTTGGTGCTACTCGGAGTGAATCTCCAAAGATTGAGCTAGACTTCAGACCCTGCTGATATTAAATATAAGTTTTCACACTCACTACTCTGAACTCAAAACGTGTGCCGTGTGTATGAACTCAAGTCATATGTGTACTAACCTTGAAGGTGGAGGATGTGGAGAAAGGAGAAGGAGGGGAAACATGACAACAAATCATGTTAGGTATCTTCTTACCAAAGCATATATTTTATCACCTGCAAGTTGTGTTAAAACTTAGGTCATGTTAGGCAAAACAAAATGTATATATGCTACACAAAGACAGTTTTATACATAATATAATACAATAAACAAAACAGGCTCACTGTCATCAAAATTAATTATACCTGTAAAAATTCAGAGAGAGATGGAATAAGCCAGATACACAGACAGTTGTGAACTTTAAAGTTTCCTCTTTAATCAAATTGATCCACCTAGCTGCATCGTCAGGACTGCTTGCTCCTAACTTTATATCAAAGAAAGCTTTACATATGAAAAGATGTTCAAGTTTTCATCAAAGAAACAACATAAATTACCTTACCTTGAGTTGATCATTGCTATTAGAAGTATTGTACAGTGTTAAATGAAGAACGCCTACAAAAGAGTGACAAAACAATTTATAACAAAAGCATTAAAAAAGAAGAAGTTGAAATAGATGACATACTTTTCTATGAACACTTTCCCTTCCATTGTTAGTAACACGGATACACGAATCTATCACCGCACTTCTTTCACCATCCTGTTAAAAAAAAAACAACGTTTTGGAATCGGAGATGTACTTGAAACTCTTGAGAGAAGATGGTCTAGAATAAAGCAACGTTTTTTAGAGAATGCAATCCAAATCTGTTGGATCTGATTATATACAACCAACCTTCCATCTTCCTCTCGCTCTCGTTTTCACCCATTTGGTAATCAAACCAAACCGTAGAGGATATTTCGATTACAAACCACAGAAACTCTCTCTGTCTCTCTCTCTCTCTCTCTCTCTCTCTCGCTCTCTTGTAAAATGACAAACCCAGCAGATGAAATAACCGAGAGATGAGACAAAGACGGAAAAGTTTCGAAATTTTCAGAAGTAGATCTTGGTGAAAAATATGAAAATCATTAATTGACGGAGAGTTGGGTCAATTGATCGAAATTCCTTTCGAGAAGTGGAAAAGTCGAAGAACATAACAAAGTAGCTTGAACTGTTCGTCGTCTTATTTTTTATTTAGGGGTTTTTGTTTTAGTTGACTAAATGGGCTAAAAATAAAAGGTTAATAGACCCAAAAAATTAAGAACCCAAACTGAAATTACTCTTTCTGATTGGTGGAATATTTTTGCTGATGTGGATAGTCTCATAGGGCTTTATTAGTGACTTTTAATAGAGTTAGATTTACTGCTAAAATTCTTGACTAGAAACTCCTCAGCTCATAAATCAATTTAGCAGTTCTTACCTTGTGAAAACCAAATGCCTGACAGGCCCAGCCATATTTGCTTGTGGCCATTATAATTTGATAGCTCTGGGTGTGTGAGAGGAACTTGGTTGGGCTTACTATTAGCGTATAACCCACCATCCGAAGGAGAATATGACGGCTGGCTTGTCTTGGTAGTGAATGGAATCATCGCATGTGATTGCCATTGGTTTTACTTTACTGATTCCGTGTTGAAGATGATATATGCTTCTTGTGTTGTTTTTGTGCGTGGAAAGGGGCCACATTGTATTATTGCATATGTGATCTGTTTTATTGATTTTAAATACTAGAAGTGGCTGGAGAATCAATTTTATTCGATTTCATTTGTAAGTTCATGTGTATCCTCGTGGTTTCAGAGTGTTGAATTGATCTATATAGATATTGTTAAGGATACTCAATATTCACCTCATCAATACGACATATTCCTTGTCTCATCTTTTAGAAAGTTTCTGTAATTAACAATACCTAGAACCCTCTACGGTTCTGTATATATTCTTCTTGTAACATATCATTAGTCAATAAGAAAGACATTACATTTACAATCAGTTGGGCGGTGCATAAATTGAGAAGTAAGGGTTTTAACGCTCTGATACCATGTAAATGTAATGTCTTTCTTATTGACTAATGATATGTTACAAGAAGAATATATACAGAACCGTAGAGGGTTCTAGGTATTGTTAATTACAGAAACTTTTTAAAAGATGAGACAAGGAATATGTCGTATTGACGAGGTGAATATTGAGTATCCTTAACAGATATATTTTATATAAATTATCCAAAAGTGAGATCAGGTTCAAGATACTCTGACTTAATTAAAAGATAGGATAGAATTTCCACATTGGAGATATATCATTAGCAAAATATATAAAGATTGTGTGGCACTCGAACACAATCGCATTGATGGATTAGATGTCTGCAATCATATAATTTTGATCTTAATGTTTTGACTAGTATTCGTATCCGATACAAATCATTAAAATAGTAAAGTAATAATTTAAATTCAAATATACTTTTTTAACTTATTTGTGTGTAAATTATGGAAACATAACAAAAAGAATTTTCAAAAATATATTTTTACGACATTATGATTTCAAAAGATTTATGAAATTATAATATGATATCACATTTGATATACATCTAAATATAGAAAGTTACTAATACATGTTTTGTGCTGATCTTGTGAACAGTCAATAGACTAACACATTAGCATTACCACATTGTAATTACAAATACAAGATTTTGTCTCCTTAAAAAAAGAAAAAAAATATTTTTTCTGTCTTCTTTGCCGGTTTGAAGTGCATCATATTTGAATTTGTCATGCTTTGTTATTGAGCATATTGCTAAGAATTTTTAGTTGTTTCATATTTTTCCAACGACTCATTTGTAAATGGCTATAAATTGTGTTGATGGAGTAAATTTAAATCAAAAATATATCTGAGATGATTGATTTCCTAAGACAAGTTCTTAGTATGTGAAAGAAACTCAATTTTTGCTTAATTGCTATACATAATATTTTTTTCTAATTCAAAAATGCATATCTCTATTTGGTTGGTTCTGAAGTCCATTTCTGAAGCTGAATTCAGTTGGCTAGGTGTTTGATCTGTTGTAAACATATGACTTGGCTAACCACAAGTAGAAAGCTAAACCAATGAAGCTGAGAGAAGCCAATAGCCAGTAGAAATAATCTAGATGACCTTTGTTCAGGTCATTATCGAACCAGCTCGTTTCACCAGACTGGCTCGTGACTCTATCGAGGACAGATATCATAAAGCTACTTAGGAAGTTCCCTGCCCCGTATATGCTTAGATTCATAGCCATACCAACACTCCTAAGCTCACTAGGGACTTGATCATAGAAAAACTCTTGTAAACCCGCCATTGTGAACCCGTCCGCGACTCCATAGAGAACGTACTGGGGAACCAACCACCACACACTCATTACCAAGGTGATGTCATCCCTAGCAGTTTGTAGCCTTTTGGTTTCGACCAAGGCGGCTACTACCATAGCAATAACGGAGAGGAAAATCCCTGTGCCAATCCTTTGAAGCATTGTGATTCCTGATGGGATTTGCGTAAAGGATCTTGCGATTGGGACAAATAGACAGTCGTAGATAGGGATGAAGACAAGAACTGATATGTTTATGAAACACTGGAGTGAAGCTGCGGGGACTAAGATTCCTGGTGAGATTGACCTGTCCATTTTAGCTCCTTGCTTTGTGAAAAAAGTAGGAGATTGTGCATTCACAATGGCGTAGACTAAGCAAGTCATCCATATAGGGACAAGCCTAAGCACTGATTTTGCTTCTTCAATTTCAGCAAATCCACATGTAATAGCTGCTCTGTCAAGGAATCTGCATAATATCATAAATGAACCATCAAAACAAACATTTAGACTTCCATGTTAAAACTAATCTTATATATTAAAACAGAAGTCATGACTTGACTTCATGTGTGATTTTTTTAAAAATGGACTATTACTAGAAAGTCATGTTACATTAACTCTCTAATAATCTTATCATTATTATATCTTATGAAAAATCATATCTATAGTAACAAATATACGCTTAACAATTTTGTTTTGGTAAATTATCTCATACATTCCAACTTAGTCACGCAAAATATGTCAAACAATATAAGTTTATGAATCTTCTATTATTTATAAGAAAATATGTCAATAATAATTAAATGCATTCATAATATATTAACAAAAATCACATATTCGTAATATGGAAAATTTATATACCCTAACAAATTTTACACGTTATATATACTAGGTAAATTTATTTCGATGTAAATTTTTAAAATTATATTGTTTAAAAAAAATTTGTTTAAAAAAATCCTTTGTAATAAAATTCTTTCTAATATTAATTTATGAAGCTATAAGTTTAGTTTTTAGAAAGAAAAAAAATTCGAAGTTTATATTATCTTTGAAAATTAAAGTATACTAATATTTAATCAAGCTCTATTTATATTAATTTATCTAAAAATGAAATACTAATCTAACAAACAATAAAATATAGAAGAAGAAACAAACACATGTTTGAAAAAGCATGTATAATATAGAAAATTTGAAATAATCTATTTGATTAAAACACGTATTATATAATATTATTATATTTGAAAAANTTTGAAAATTAAAGTATACTAATATTTAATCAAGCTCTATTTATATTAATTTATCTAAAAATGAAATACTAATCTAACAAACAATAAAATATAGAAGAAGAAACAAACACATGTTTGAAAAAGCATGTATAATATAGAAAATTTGAAATAATCTATTTGATTAAAACACGTATTATATAATATTATTATATTTGAAAAACATTAACTATACATATCGTAAATATGTGATTACTATGATATATATAAATTTACAAGTGAAAACAAAATGTTTATATAACTAACTATAAACGAAAACAAATACCCGCGCGGTTGCGCGGGTCAAAATCTAGTTGGTGTTATATTAGACGTAGCAATCCAAGTTTTCTTCTATAATAGATTTATTACAATATTTGAATATATTTTATATATTATAATAAGACTTGATCATTTTAATTAATGATATGGGAAAATATAACAAGAACCAAGATGATATGAACAAAAACGTGGCTTCCAAGATTCTAAAGAAGAGAAGCAGAACCTCTGTTTTACTATGTTACCTGAATTCCTCAGAACTCTGGTGTGCCAGTAAAAGGGTTTCGTTTGCATTAACTATATCATAACCTCGTTGTCTTCTGTTCTTTACTGCCTCCATGAAAACACGACCGATTCTAGCAAAAGGGTTTTTCTTTCCTCCTCTTTCAGAAGTAAACCGGTAAGAGGTAGTTCCAAGGAGGAAGAGAAACAGAGCAAATAGCATGGAAACACATTGAATACCAAACCCTAAGGACCAGCTTAGATCCTCTTGAATGTAGCTAGAGACCAAGCGAGTGGTTGTTATACTAACACAGCTTCCAAACATCAACCAGTTAAAGTAAGAACTCTTGGATTTTCTCTCTTTTAGATCATTACCATCGAATTGATCAGCTCCAAATACCTTAGCACACGGTTTGTAACCGCTTTGTCCTATTGCGATTAGAAACAGAGAACAGAAGAATAAAGTCACTTTGAGCTGGTTCGAATCGTCGGAGTCACTAGGAACCATGGCTGAAAACGACAGCGTTCCCAGTCCCTGTTTTGTTTTGTTTTGTTTCATCAAATAACGCAATAATGAAGTGATGAAAAATGTATACATGATGAACATGTTACATACATACCAAGATGTAGAGAGAAGATGAGATGATGATAGTACGGAAACGACCAAGACAACCGTCAGCAACAAACGCCCAAAGAAGCGGCAGAAACGCCATTGTTCCAATCCAAACGTTCACATTCGCTGCAGCTTCAGCTGTTGGCTGACCCAATGGTCCTGTCAAGTACGTTATCAGGTTTGACGATACACCGAAATACGCAAACCGCTCCGCCATTTCCACAACTACACAAAGCTCAACAACAGAAACAAAGATGAGATAGCAAAAACTTTGAGAAGGAGTAAATGAGGAACTTGATTGCATTTACGTACAGATGATGAGCCTCGCCGATCTCCATCCACCGGAGGAGGATCTGACGGCTGTGTTTCCGAGCTCAGCACCGGAAGCGTCGGTGGAGATAACCATTGTGTTTGATATGGTTTTGATATGTTTAGAATTTAAAAATACAGACAAAGATCTTGTATTGTTGTTGCAGTATAAAACGGTCAATTAGCCTAGCTGGAAGTCATGTCGACGAAGAAAAAATCAGTTATAAGTTTAGATAATGATAAACTTTGGTTCTTAGTGATAAGTTCTATAATAAGATAAGGATGACCTGTGTATATCATCTCCTACTATATCTCTCTGTAAACTCTATATATAGAGTATGTTTCGTGATCAATAAAACTCAAGCAATTGCAGTACTTATTATATGGTATCAGAGCACCCTTCGATCCATTAATCTTTTTTTTTTTTTTTTTTTCTCTCTTTTTCGTTTACTTGCTGCTCAAACATCAAAAGATGTCTTCCGAGTCATCAAACTCAGGCTTTATGAACTCAACAGCAACACGCACTGCAATCTATGATCCAGCTAATCCAGCAAACACCTTACTTGCAGTCAACATGTCAAACATTACCCGTCTGACCAACACCAATTACCTTATGTGGAGCAAGCAAATCCAAGCTCTACTTGAAGGACATGAACTACAAAGCTTCCTTGAGAAAACAACCTCAATACCAGAAGCAGTTATCATCAACAATGGGCTTGAGGAACCAAACCCAAGCTATGCAGCATGGCGTCGTCAAGACAGGCTCTTGTACAGCGCCATCATTGGAGCAATCTCTCTCCCAGTTCAACCCTTGGTTGCCAGCTCCACCACAACTCATGAAGTTTGGAGCACTCTCAATCTGCTCTTTGGAACACCTACTCGAGGACACATCAAACAACTCAAATATCAGATCAAAAGCTGTGTGAAAGGCACCAAAACAATCAGTGAGTACATGCGCACCATCAAAACAAAGTCTGACGAGCTTGCACTTCTTGGTAAACCACTTGATGCTGAAGACTTGATTGAACAAATTCTCGCTGGACTCCCTGAAGAATATAAATCAGAGATCGATGCTGTTAATGGCAGAGACACTCTGATCTCATTCTCTGAACTCACAGAGAAGCTTCTTAACCGTGAGGCAATGATCGTGTGTGATCAACCAACAACACCATCGTTTCCAGTCACAGCCAATGCTATCTCAAAAACCAACACCAACAACAATCGTGTCAACACCAACAACAACAACTGGAGACCCTCGTTCACGCCTCGCAACAACAACAACAACTACAATAACAATTACACTTCCAACAATGGTGGACGTGGACCACGACCATACCTTGGTCGTTGTCAGGCATGCGGTATTCAAGGACATAGTGTTCAACGTTGTCCTTCCTTCAGAGTTGTCTCAGCAGATACAGGATCACACACCAACTTTCAACATCGTCCAATGGCACACACTGCTTCTGTCAACACACACCATCCTGATGCTTGGCTCATGGACAGTGGAGCTTCCCATCATGTCACATCTGACATGAACAATTTAGCTTCTCATATGCAGTACTCTGGACCAGATGGGGTCGTGATTGGTAACGGCGCCAATTTACCAATCACTCATACTGGTTCACTCTCTCTCAAAACACCCTCTAGAGATTTTACACTTAACAATGTTCTTTATGCTCCTACTATGCAAAAGAACCTTATTTCAGTAAATCGTTTCTGCAAAACTAATCAAACCTCTGTGGAATTCTTTCCAACCATGTTTCAGGTGAAGGATCTGCACACGGGGACACCGGTACTAACCGCACCAGCTAATGGAAATGTGTATGAATGGCCTCCTGATCAGTCATGCACACCTCTAGCCTTCTCTACTACAACCACTTCTTCTCTTTTAGATTGGCACCACCGCCTAGGTCATCCAGCTTTTCCTATTTTACAAAAGATTTCTTCAAGTGTTTTCCCTAGTTTTTCTTGTCGCAATCATAGTTCTTTTCATTGCAATGCGTGTTTAATCAATAAAAGTCATAAACTTCCCTTTCATGATACATCTATCTCCTCTTCACGACCCTTACAAGTTATTTTCTCTGATGTGTGGACATCACCCATACACTCAGTCGATGGTTTTAAATACTATTTGCTTTTAGTTGATCACTTTACCCGATATATGTGGTTCTTTCCTCTTAAGCTTAAGTCGCAGGTTGCAGCCACATTTACTAAGTTTAAGCAGCTGGTCGAAACACAATTCAACAACAAAATAACAACATTCTACACAGACAATGGGGGAGAATTCATAGCACTCAGATCGTTTCTTGCAGACAACGGCATCACACATCTTACAACACCACCTCACACCCCGGAGCACAATGGCCTCTCTGAACGACGTCATCGTCACATCGTTGAGACTGGCTTAGCCCTACTCACTCATGCCTCTATACCGACGTCATACTGGACTTATGCATTCGCCGCTGCTGTCTACCTCATAAATCGCATGCCAACGAAAGTTCTTTCCATGGAGTCACCTTACCTGCGCCTCTTTGGAGCTTCACCAAATTACTCAAAGCTACGTGTTTTCGGCTGCTTATGCTATCCGTGGCTGCGACCCTACACGACAAACAAGCTTGAACCTCGATCAACTCCCTGCATTTTCCTAGGTTATTCTCTTACTCAAAGTGCCTATCTCTGTTTTAATCCCTCCACATCACGTATGTTTGTCTCACGACATGTTATTTTTGTCGAGAACAAGTTTCCTTTTCTCTCTTTAGCAGCCTCAAATATCTCTCCAAGTGAGGTCCAGGAAGCTGCGTGGATGCTTGTGATTGAACCAACACATCACCGGCATGAGTTAGTACCTCGGTCCCCTACTGCAGATCAGTCACCAGAAGCAACGACAACAACCACCGCACCATCTCACGCTGATTCACCACCCCCTGCAGCGACATCAACAACACCCGCCTCGTCTGCAGATCAGTCACCAACTACAGACTCTTCCTCTGCTGACTCCTCTCCTGTCACAGAAACAGTAACACCACCACAACATCACATGGTCACTCGCTCCAAGAATCAGATAGTCAAGCCCAACCCAAAATACTGTCTCAGTGCAACCTTGGCTCCCTACCTTGAGCCACACACAATACAACAGGCGCTTGCGGATGAAAGATGGCGCAAATCAGCGTGTGCAGAATTCAATGCTGCCGTAGCCAATCACACATGGGACTTAGTCCCTGCAGAAGAAGCTACAAATATCATTGGCAACAAATGGATCTTCCGCATAAAATTCAATGCAGATGGAACAGTTGGCAACCTCAAAACACGTCTCGTTGGCAAAGGCTTTCATCAACGACCTGGCATAGATTACCATGAGACATTCAGCCCGGTGATCAAGTCCCTTACAATACGTCTGCTGCTAGGTCAAGCCGCCAAATACAACTGGCCCCTGAAACAACTTGACATCAATAATGCTTTCCTTCAAGGAACACTAACGGAGGATGTTTATATGGTTCAACCAAGTGGCTTTGTTGATCGGGACCGACCCAACCATGTGTGCAAGCTCAACAAGGCACTCTATGGCCTCAAACAAGCGCCTCGTGCCTGGTATACAGAACTCAAAAAGTTCCTCACTGGACTTGGCTTTAGGAACTCTGTCGCAGATGCATCTCTGTTCTTCTACACTTCCAAGGACACATACCTCTTCATCTTGATCTATGTCGACGACGTCATCATTACTGGCAACTCAGATACCAAGATTAGAAGTCTCATCAACACTCTCTCAGCAAGGTTTTCACTCAAGGATCTAGGGGATTTGTCCTATTTCCTTGGCATCGAGGTCCTTCGCACACAACATGGCATTCATTTATCTCAACGGAAGTACATTGGTGATCTACTCTACCGCAACAACATGACAAATGCAAAGCCTGTACCCACTCCCATGAGCGCATCAACAAATCTCTCAATACGTGATGGCCAAGCAATGGATAACCCAGCTGAGTATCGAACTCTTGTTGGTGGTCTCCAATACCTACTCCTCACTCGCCCAGACATTGCCTTTGCGGTAAATAAACTCTCTCAGTTTATGCATAAACCAACCAATATACATTGGCTTGCTGCAAAACGAGTACTTCGCTACCTAGCCGGCACGTACACATCAGGAATATTCCTCTCCAGACACAGCAACCTATCACTTCATGCATACTCAGATGCTGACTGGGCTGGCAACAAAGATGATTATACTTCCACTGGAGCGTATGTTGTTTTCCTTGGTCAGCATCCTGTCTCCTGGTCTGCCAAGAAACAGACAGGTGTTGCCCGGTCCTCCACAGAAGCTGAATATCGTGCCGTCTCTGCAGCTGCTTCTGAAGTTCGTTGGCTGTTCTCTTTACTGCGGGAAGTTGGCGTTCAACTTGACACAGTTCCTACTATCTACTGCGACAATGTTGGGGCAACTTACTTGAGTGCAAATCCAGTTTTTCACTCAAGAATGAAACATCTTGCTCTTGATTATCACTTTATAAGGGAGCAAGTTCAGAATGGAACGCTACGAGTCACTCATGTGTCATCTAAAGATCAACTTGCGGATGGCTTAACCAAACCTCTACCACGACAACGGTTTGGCCTGCTCTTTACCAAGATTGGTATCACTAATCGTGCACCATCTTGAGGGGGGATATTAGGATAACTACGTTATTTTAGATAATGATAAACTTTGGTTCTTAGTGATAAGTTCTATAATAAGATAAGGATGACCTGTGTATATCATCTCCTACTATATCTCTCTGTAAACTCTATATATAGAGTATGTTTCGTGATCAATAAAACTCAAGCAATTGCAGTGCTTATTATATATAATA